TTGCTTCTGAGGGGCAGCATCTAGGTGCATTTATCTTCGGCGCGCCTACGGCGCAGCACAGCCCGCCCTCCAACCGGGGCCTCCTGCTGGAGCTGCGCGGCAGGAGCGATTTAATTGTCAGCAACACTTTCTTCAAGCACCCGCCAAAGCTCCAGATTGCAGGCCACAACATTGCGTCGCAATCCAGGGGCCCAGCAATGCCGGGACTTCTTTGGCAGATCGACTTCTTGTTGTGATGCGAGTGGCGCGCTTCTTTGGGTCCGGACGTCTGGATTTGCAGGGGCGCGGCAGTGGCCTCGCACCGTATTCTTCTCATTTGCCACATGTGTCTTGCGATGCCCAAGGCAAGTAAGAATCGCGCCTTCAAGTCGGACGCGCCTGCTCTCGTTTCTGGTCAAAGGGAAGGAAAATTATGCGAGCGCTTCTTCAAACGCATGGACAGTGGCAAGGTCGCGGAGCTGACCATCGACGACCTGAGCACGGACATCGTCGAGTCGTTCGCCTGTGCTGCCAGCGCTTGCTCGCCGAGGGCGTCGGCGACGAAGCGCCGTCGATGGATCGGCGATTCCACTCTGCAGTTGATCGAATTGCGAAATCACGCCCGGGCGAGGGGGGATCGCCCTGCAGAGCAACGCTTGCATGGCCAGACCAAGGCTTCTGTCAAGAGCGACAAGAGTCGATGGTTGGAAGATCGCGTGGCGCATGGCGATTGGAACGAGGTGCGGAATGTGAGATATAGCAGGTCTGCCACCCCAGGCTGGATGAGGGGCGCAAGTGGGCGAAGCGTGCGCAGCGACCAGCGGCCAGATACTTCGGCGGAGTACTTCGCCAAGATGCAGTGGGCTGCGCGCCTTGCGGCAGCGGTCATTGAGCCTGATCCCTTGGGCCCCGCGCCCCCAGTCGCTCCGGGGCCCATCGCGGAAGAGGAAGTGCGCTCGGCAGGCCGCGCCCTCAAGCGCAACGAAGCCCCAGACAAGGACTGCGCGCCAGCCGAAGTCTGGAAAGCTGCGCGCAGGCGGAGGACGCCGGCCTGCAAGTGGGCAGCACTCTTGCGCAACCGGCGACGGACAGAGGGGTCCGCGCCCGGAGCTCGGCACGGAGCAGCGGCAACAGCGATACTCAAAAAATTCGACTTGCTGGACTGCGCCAACTATCGGCCGATATCGCTCTTATGAATCGGACGCATGTTGCACGCTTCAATATTGCTCTCTCGTCTGAAGCAGGCGGGCGCAGAGAACCGAATCTCGGACACCCAGTTCGGCTTCCGCTCCGGCTGCGGGGCGACGGACGCGTTGTTCGTAGCCAAGCGGTTGAGCGAGAACGTTTTACACGCGCAGAACGGTCGATTGATATTGTTAGCGCCCGGTTGGGCGGAAGCTTTCGGTAGCGTTTCACCGGGGAGGCTTGTCCAGGCGGCAATGCGTTTTGGGGCGTCAGCGCAGTTCGCTGCAGTTGTCAAGGCAATGTACACCAACCGTCGCTTCAGCGTCCGAGAAGCCAGGAACACTTCGGAGTCGCGGGCGCAGGAGTTTACAATGTCTCAACGATGTCCTCTATCACCTTTTCTGTTCTCCATCATACTGACCGCCCTGACGCACGACGCCAAGCGCCGCTTCGCGCAGACAGGGTTCCAACAACATCCAGGCTTCCCCCTCAGTGAGCTGATGTATGCTGACGACACCCTCTTAGCTGGCGCAGACGAGGACTACGCGCACGAGTTCATGGAGTGCGTGCGCCTGGCCGGGGAGCAATATGGACTCACATTCAACTGGGGGGAATTTAGATTTTGCGCGCGAGCTGCCGGACTGCGATGGCGACGCCGGACGGCAAGAACATCCCACAGGAGACTCATGTGGTGTATTTGGGTGGACTTCTCAGCAATGACGGCAGTACGGGCCCCGAGCTCAGCAGGCGATCAGCCATGGCCGGCAAGGACCTTGATGCATTGTGTAGAATATGGAAGCACGTGAGATTGAGTTTGCAGAAAAAGGTGCGCATCTTCGAGTCTTGCGCGGTTTTCGAAGCAGTTATACTGCCTGCACACCATCTGGTTGAACAAGGCAGAGCGAGACAGATTTGGCACATTCCAAGCACGATGCTTGCGGAGATTGTCTGGCATCCCGCACTCCTACAGCAGTTGGGTGAGCAACGTGAGCAGCGCTCCCGTGCGGCATACGTGCAGAAGCCATTGTTTAAGTTCTCTGTGGTCCTACCGCCAACTCGCACCCGTAGGTGACACTGTCCGTCCAGCTCCCAGACGACAGCCCAATCAAGAGATGTATATTTGAGCCCGGCACCGCCGATTTGGCCCACCCGGGCGGGCGTCGCAAGCGTGGCAGACCAACAAATACTCGGACGCGTTGTGTTTTTAGCGTGGCGTGCGAAGTAGCTGGCGGCAACGACGCCCTGCGCCAGATATAACAGGAAGGCTGGCTGGCAAGGCGCATCCGCGCAAAGCGCTTCTGCTTTCAACCGCTGTAGCTTTTTAGCCCCCTTTTCCCCCATCTCCTCTTCCTCCTCCTCCTCCTTCTCCTCCTCCTCCTCCTCCTCCTCCTCCTCCTCCTCCTCCTCCTCCTCCCCCATCCAAGCTTGGTGTGCTCGCTGTTTCATCCCATATTCTCAGTTACACCCCTCTTTCTGTCAACGCACCATGACGTGCACGGCGTCTGTCTGTCTGTCACCATCGATCCTGGATCACCCCGTCAGGGTCCACTTCGATCCGATCGGTCCGATCCGCGATGACTGTTGTTGATACGATCCGTCCGGTCCGATCCGATCCATCCGGCCCACTTCGATCCGATCCGTCCGGTCCGATCTGATTCGATTCCGATGTTGCGACGATCCGATTGGGCCACGTGTTTGCGTGGCGTCGTTGCGCATCCCAGCGCGGCCGACCCGATTCGATTCCGACTTCGTGCCGATGCTGGCCGCTCCGACGCAAGAGCCGATTCGATCCGATTCCCCCATTTGATGATGACCATTCCTGACGGTTCATCAACCCTCGATTACCCCTTCGGCTTTCTTCGCTTTTCGCTCTCCTCATTCGATCTCATCAGCGGCCATCCTCATCCTCATCTTCCGCACCTTCATCATCACCGATCCTCCTCCTCCTCATTATCATCACCATCGTCATCATCACCCATCCTCCTCATTTTCCTCCTCGACCCTCCATCACCCCTTCGATTCCTTCGATGCCATAGGAAGGGACAGCCTAGAAGCCAGACCCCTCCAATCCAATGGCGAAACACTGAACCTGCAGGAAAGCCACGCACCTGAGAGTCCGTCAGTCGCAGACCTCGGAGGCGCAGGAGGAGGAAGAAGAAGGGCCTGCGGGGCTCGGGCGCTCCAACAGGAGGGTCCATGGGTAGTGGAACAAACAATGGCATGAACATAAACAACCCTGAGGTCTGCGACCCGCCTCCCTGGCGCGCGGAGCGCGCCAGGGGCGGCGCCGGAGGCGCCGCCAGGGTGCCCCGGGGCCGATCCGAGGAATCCGCGTGGACCTCCGCGTTGTTCTGTTCATGTCATTGCCTGTTCCCTTAAGGGGTCCGAGCCTCAGCTTCGCTCGATTGCGAGATAGCCCCGCTTTTCAGTTCCCCTCTGGGCAGCCTCGTCTTCCTCCGCCTTGATCCCTCGAGCCTTCCGCCGCCGCCGCCGCTGCCTGCTGGCGCCGATGTTGATGTTGATGTTGATGATGATGATGATGATGATGATGATGATGATGATGATGATGATGATGGTGATGATGATGATGGTGATGATGATGATGGCCATGGTCATGGTGATGGTGATGGTGATGGTGATGATGATGGTGTCGGTGGCGATGGTGATGGTGACAATGATGATGAATGCTGCTGCTGCTGCTGCTGATGATGATGATGATGGTGGTGGTGGTGGTGTTGGTGATGATGGTGGTGCTGATGATGGTGATGCTGATGCTGATGCTGATGCTGCTGCTAATGCTTGTTCTGGTGATGAAGTTGGTGGTGAAGTTGGTGATGCCGCTTGTGATGATGACTGTGTCGCCGATGATGACGATGCTTAAGATGGTGGTGATGATGATGATGATGATGGTGACGATGTTGATGATGATAAAGGTGACGATGATGATGCTGATTGCGATGATCATGATGATGCTGGTGGTGATGATGGTGATGGAGATGATGAGTATGATGATGACGATGATGATGATGGTGGTGGTGATGATGCTTGCGGTGATGATGATTGTGATGGTCATGCTGATGGTGATGATCATGATGCTGCTCATGATGCTCATGACGCTTGCGATGGGGATGCTGGTGGTGATGATGCTGAATATGACGATTCTGATGGTGATGGTGGTGATGCTGATGATGCTGACTATGATGATGGTGATGATGATGATCGTGATTATGATGATACTGGTGATGATGATGAAATTGTGTCTGATGATGCCGATGATGATGATGATGATGATGTTGATCATAATTTTGATGATGATGCTGCTGGTGATGCTGATGCTGGTGATGATCATAATTCTGATTATGTTGATGATGATGATTGCGATATTGACGATGATGATGATGTTGATGATGCCTATGTTGCTGATGTTTTCGATGTTGACGATGATGATCATGATCATGATCATGATCATGATGATGGTGATGGTGATGGTGATGGTGATGGTGATGATGATGATGATGATGATGATGATGATGATGATGATGATGATGATGCTGATGCTGATGCTGATGCTGATGCTGATGCTGATGCTGATGCTGATGCTGATGCTGATGCTGATGTTGATGGTGGTGGTGGTGATGGTGGTGGTGATGCTGATGTTTTAGAGGGGTACGAGGAGGAGGAGGAGGAGGAGGAGGAGGAGGAGGAGGAGCAGAGATGGAGGAAGAGGAGGAGGAGGAGGAGGAGGAGGAGGGAGACAAAATCAGGAAGGAAACGGAGGAGCAGGGCTATCGATTCTTCCAGAGGCTTCCCTCTGGCCTTTCTGGCCTCCCAGAAAGGAGAGGTCGCAGCGCATGCCGCGGAGATCGCGCACCTCGAGAAACTCATCGCCGAGAACAGGGAGTCGCAGCGCGAGGCGACGGAGGTCCGCGCCAACGAGAACGCCGATTTCGAGAAGGAAAGGAGGAGGAGGAGGGAAGGAGGAGGAGGAGGAGGAGGAGGAGGAGGAGGAGGAGGAGGAGGAGGAGGAGGAGGAGGAGGAGGAGGAGGAGAGGAGGAGGAGGAGGAGGAGGAGGAGGAGGAGGAGGAGGAGGAGGAGGAGGAGGAGGAGGAGGAGGAGGAGGAGGGGAGGAGGAGGAGGAGGAGGAGGAGGAGGAGGAGGAGGAGGAGGAGGAGGAGGAGGAGGAGGAGGAGGAGGAGGAGGAGGAGGAGGAGGAGGAGGAGGAGGAGGAGGAGGAGGAGGAGGAGGAGGAGGAG